ACCTGGACCTGGACCTATATCTGGACCTGGACCTATACCTGGACCTACCATTCTGTGTTTGTCTGTCTCTCCTTCCTGTCCTCTCAACCAGCCGGTCAAAGCAGATGGTCTCTTGTCCTGAGCTGGTTCTGCTGGAGGTTTCTTCCTGTTAAAGGGAGTTTTTCTTTCCACTGTCTCCACTGTGCTTGCTCAGGATGGGAGACTGCAACGAAGCCAAGATTCAACTTGTCTGCTGGATTCCTTAGATAGAGAACTTTACTAACTGGCTTTTATGTGAATGTTTCTGTAAAGTCCCTGAGACAACTTTGTTGTGATTTGGTGCTTTATAAATAAACTGAATTGAATTGAACACCGTGACATCATCAGGTCTCGAGAGCAGCAGCTGGATCAGGGAGGTCCAGACATCTTTTTCCACAGCCGCCTCTTCAGCTCTTCTGGAGGACTCCAAGGTGTTCCCAGACCAGCTGAGAGACATAGTCCCTCCAGAGTGTCCTGGGTCTTCCTCAGTGTCTCCTCCCTGTTGGACATGTCCAGAACACCTCCCTTTGGAGGTGTCCAGGGTCCATCTTTACCAGATGTCTGAACCTCCTCAACTCTCTCTCTCCTCTGGATGTGGAGGAGCAGCGGTTCTACTCCGAGTCTCCCCTGGAGGACTGAACTTCTCACCCTGTCTCTAAGGGAGAGTCTAGCTACCCTACAGAGGAAACTCCTTTAGACCTCCTGGATCCAGGATCTGGTTCTTTCTGTCACTGCCCAGAGTTCAGGACCAGAGGTGAAGGTAGGAACGAAGACCAAACTGTAAACAGAGAGCTTCTCCTTGCAGGTCAGCTTCCTCGATCACCACAACAGACCGGTACAAAGTCCACAATACTACAGAAGCGTTGCTAAAAACAGAAGGAAAATCCAACTAAGCTCAGTCTGTGTTGAGAAATCTCAGAGTTAGAGCCACTGTTGAAGATCATCTCATAAAGATTTCACATGAACCGTTAGTGCTCAGAGTCTGTGCAGAGGAAGACTCCCAGCTACTACCACACCAGTTCTTAGGACTAAACAGCAACGAGACTGAGGGACAGGACACAACCAGTGGTAAATACATTGTTACCCACCATCAAAGGATAGCAAGAACCACGATTAGTGGATCTCATCAAACACAAACCTGTAAAAACTCAGTAAATTTTACAATTGATTCAAGGTTTAGTGTGGTAGTGGCTGAGAGTCACCTCCAACACAGACTCTGAGGACTAACAGATCAGGAGATCTTGGTAAGAAACTGTGATGTGTAAGAAGGTGGGTGATGTGCATTCCTTAATGGATCTGATCTTGTTCAGATTTCTTCTGATAACGTCTCTTCAGTCCAATAGGACGTAAAGAGGACCCTAAAATACTAAAACCATTTTATGAACCGTTGAAGTTTAAAGTTATTTCATCTGCAGATCAGAAGTGAGAGCATCAACAGATGAAGTGAAACCTTGAACAGAGTCAGAAATCTAAAACCCGTTTGTGTTTGAGTTGTTAAATGGCCTCGCTGCCGCCGATGGACCTCAGTTCCTGCTGGGTGGTGGACTGACTTCCTGAGGAAGAGGCCGTCTTCTCGTCTTTGTCCCGCCTGCAGCGCAGGGCACGGGGCATCGCTCCCAACAGGGCCTTTCTGAACATGGAACTGGAGAAGACGTAGACCACCGGGTCCAGAGCCGAGTTCAGGAAGTTCAGACCCAAAGACACAATGGTGAGTTGGGTGAAGGTGTAGAAGGCGGCGCAGTCCCATGGGCGGAACGACTTGATGACCCAGACACCGATGGTGGTCACCGTGGTGGGCAGGAAACACACCAAGAACACGGCCACGATGGCAGCGCACATTCGCATGGCCTTGCGCACCTTTTCAGGTTTGCCCATCTGCCTCTGCTTCAGGAAGCAGGAGATCCGGACAGAGCAGAACAACAGCATGGCCATGGGGAGGATGAACTCCAGCACAGTCAGGATGCGGTGCATGCCCACCAGGACGATGATGGCACGGGATGCCTCTTTGTAGGAAGTGAAGAAGAAGCACTGGGTCCTGTCCTCTTTACCTTTGATGTGGCTGTAGGCCAGCATGGGAAGCCGGGGACTGATCACCAGCAGCCAGACGAGCACTGAGACCACCGCCGCCTGACGCTTGGTCATCTGGCTGAAGCGATTGTGAGGGTGGACCACCTGGAACAGGAAAACACTGATCATTAGTTTGGAGTTTAGTTCCATCTTTTTCAACTGGTTCCTGCTCAGCCTGGAAATAAAACTGATGCTGCAGGAAGCGATGAATAAAAACCAGACCTGAAACCAAACACAGCCGTGTTGAGAACATTTACTGTCTACTGATTTACTGTCTATTGATTTACTGTCTACTGATTTACTGTCTATTGATTTACTGTCTATTGATTTACTGTCTATTGATTTACTGTCTACTCCAACTGAGCCCTGAAAGACCCTTTAATTATATGACGGTGTTCCTTAGAGCAGGAATCCACTACCTTATTTAACTTATTATATTTTTAAATATTGGGTTGGATTACTTTTTGGGCAGCACGGTGGCACAACAGGTAGAGCTGCTGCCTCTCAGTGAGCAGGTCCCTGGTTCAAATCCCAGTCCGGGGGCCTTTCTGGGTGGAGTTTGCATGTTCTCTCCGTGGATGTGTGGGTTTTCTCCTGGTACTCCAGTTTCCTCCCACAGACCAAAAATATGCATGTTAGACTGATTGGTAACTCTAAATTGTCCCCAGGTGAGTGAATGGTTGTTTGTCTCGTTTATCTCTATGTGTCCCTGTGATGGACTTGAGACCTGTCCAGGGTGTCCCCCGCCCCTCGCACAGTGATTGCTGGACATGGGCACCGGCGACCCCCGTTATCCAAAATGGAATAAGCGGGTAAAGATAATGGATGGATGGATGGATTACTTTTAGAACCTGGACCCAATCAGATTGATTAGGTTCTGGTTCTTGAATCCCAGGAGCACCTTCTTTCTCTAGGACTGTGGACTGCTTGTGTCTTCAACAACCTGACTTGATGAAGCGTTAGTGCCGCTCTCAGGTTTGTATGGACACCATTGGCGTCAGAAGCATTTGTAATATGGGGGGACACATTGGTGGTGGTGGTGGTGGGGGGTCTGGGGGTCCTCCTCCAGAAAATTAAGAATGAAGTAGATGCCATTTCCTGCATTTCAGAGTATCTCAATGTGTTGTTAAACATCTGTCTTTACCTACATATGTGAACACTTGGTTCAACAACTTTGAGAGCATGACACAATGCTGCCCCCCCCCCACCCCCCCAGTGGTGCACAATAAATACGTGCTAGCTAAGATGCTACAGACATAGCACTCTACTTCTCTCTCGTATCCTAACCCTCCACCCCCCACTCCCCAGCAAGTGACCTTGGGAAAAACTGCATGTGGTGAGTTGTTGTAGGTAACCAGGAAAACCTGGAGTGGACTTTTAGTGGTTGGAGTGTTTCCTATTAATCAAGTGGAATGGATTTGTTCATGAAGAAACAGCGCTGGGTGAACTAATATTTCATGGTACATGTGGGGGAGGGGGGGGGCAAACTAGGGCTGCAACTAACGATTATTTCAATAATCGATTCATCGGCCGATTATTTTTTCGATTAATCGATGAATCGGCAAAAAAAACACAACGTTTTAATTTCCACCCCTTTATTCCAAAACTGAACATTTGACTGACATAGCAATTCACACAAAAAACAGGTTGCTATTTTACTATTCTGTTAGTAAAATATTGAATAATAAAAAATAAAAGTTAGTCAAATAGCTTAAAAAAATAAATGTACACAAAAATATATATATACAAATGTGTCTTTATACCTGCACAATATGTAGCTACTTTGTAAAATGTGTCATTGAGGGAAGAGTGTAACCTGGATTAAAAGTGTGGATTATTGAAACCTGGATTAAAAGTGTG